GATTGAATTCACTGCCTTCCCTTTAGTGGGTCAGCTGGCTGAAGGTAGGAACAGTGTCTAACTTGTTTATCACTGTTTTACCACATAGAAGGTGCTCAGTGCAAATGAGATAAACCGTTAGGTTATTGAAGCCAAAGGCAGATGGAGTGAAAAGGTTTTTGCGCTGTAACCTGGAGGGTGACAAGAGGATGGCACATACAATAAGCCCCAGCCTGAGAACTTCATTCCACATTTGTTGGAAGGGAAGGGACACACGTAGTAGGGACAATGTGTGCCCTGTCACAGTGACCTGAGCGGGGTTAGCAAATACAGAGTCAGCTCTGTAGAGCAAACTAAGTTAGTTAACTTAGCCAGTTAAAGCTTGTCATTTTTCAATTAGCAATAATCGCGCCTCGGATAAACCTCATTGGCTACGATACTGCCACTGCGCAAAGCTGAAAGCTTGTCATTTTTAAGGGTCCAGATTTGTTCTGCACCTCCCGAAAGCTGGGAGTCAATAAGTCTTGAGTTGTTAAATCAGGAAAGATTGAAATATTTACATGAACAAGGGATAGGGAGCAAATGATTCTAAAAGTCTCATTGGAACTTTGGGGAGAAGATCCAGAGTTGTTTAGTTTAAAAGGAACATGGAGTAGTGAGAGACCACAGGGCACAATCCCCATTGTTCTCCAAGGAGATACAACGCGTTAACAATAGTCCCTTATTCTCCCAATCACATGGTTTATCTTTATGCATCACTTGTTCCATGAAAAATTCTGCAACTGTGGTTCTTAGGAGTCTAATAATCTTTGTGGTTTGGGGAAGAATACTGGGACGGTTTTTTGATAGGCAGGAGGTGAAACACTTTAGAATCACATAGTATCAAATGCAGTGTGTAGCTTTTTGTTTCTTCCTAATCCAGAAAGTTATTTTTATGAGCCTTGCTGATTAGTTAGAGCTGCTCCTGATAAATAGACCAGAAACAAATCATTTTCTGCTCTAGGTTATGGATTTGGTTTTGCTAGAGATAATTAGAGGTTTGTTCAAGAGCGTGGTTACTTTAGTAGGGTTACACACACACACTCACACCCTACCACCGGCACCAGGACACCTTATACTTCTAGAGATGACATGAAGAAAACTCTTAACAACTGTTTCCTAAGCTTGTTTTACTGTTTTCTTTCTTCTGAGTCCTTTTCAAGCCTTTGTTGGCCTAGAGGCAGAATTGAATAGTAGGTATGAATTTCAAAATTACAGCTAAGCTTACTTGTCCACAGACAGCAGTCACTAGGCTAGCCACAGTCTTAATCTTATTCATGCATCTTTACCCTAAAGTAGAAATGTTCATTCATAATTTAGAGGAAGTGAGTAGTTACAGGCTCACACTCACAGATCTCTTAGAAATTCGAAAAGATGTCAAAGGATGAATTAGGAAACCTGTCAGGTGTCGGAAAATGCTTTGTTGCATTGGCCATGTTTTAGTTATTGGTTGTGAAGATCTTCTAGTGCTTTCTGGAATTCATATTGTCTTAGACAGCTTGTAGCCAGCTTTGCTTATACACAAATGTAAAAACATGAGTTTGGGTAAGACTATGAAAAATAGACACATAAATTGATAGTTTTCTAGAGCAATGATCTGGTGAAGGTGGAGGGCCATGTCTGGAGACATTTTGATTGTCATGGCTCTCATGCTCAGGGGCTGGGCATACTGCTAAAACATCTTATAATGTCACGCACAAAAATGTCAGTAGTACTGCAATTGCGAATCTGTGAATTCATCGATATTAATGCATATAAACAGGTGTATTTGCAAATCTTTGGTTTGGGACTTTTTTTGACAACATAAAAATAAGGAAACAAAATTCTCTCCAGTTCCTAGACTGTCAGCGTATTTTCAACATGATGGGTTTAGTCATGTCATACATAAATCCTTTTAAAGCCTCAGAATACATAGCCAGGAAGCTTACCTATTTCTCAAAGCTGTTCCTTTGAAAATAGAGCTGTTGTAGTTAGAGGCATGCTTTAGGGGTACAAGAGATTTAGGGTACCATCCTCAAGATAACTGAGTGTTCTTGAATGTAATCATTATTTTCTTGAATATAATAGTTTTTCCTTGAATGTAATCTATTTTTCTGTAACATTTTACCTGAACTCCATTTGGCATCGAATTACCTTCTTACATTGTGCCTTTTAACACAGTTTCTGTCTGCCCTGCCTCTCTAACCCTTTTCAATATTTGTATGAACTCAAAACGAAGAAGACAGGAGGAGGGCCAGCCATGGCATGGTGGCTAAGATGGCTTCATGCCTGTATCATTTAAGATAGGTTTGGCTATACATAACCAAAAAGAAAAAAAGAAAATCCCCTCTCAGCAGAACTCAGAGCAACAGCGACCTGGATGAGTGAGAAGTTGATTTGTCACTTGGATAAAAGCAGTCCAGAGGTGGGCCATCCAGGGCTGGCGTGACTGTCCTGGGCACACGCACACATCTCCGTTCTGATGGACTGCCAGCGTTGGTGTGAGGCCTTCTTGTCTAAGATGAGTGCCTGACACATATTCATTGATAAACTCTGACCTAGCCACGTGGCTGCCCACATAGATGTCACCCTGACCAGGTGACATTACCCCTGCCCAGGCATGTAAATTGTATGGCAAAGGCCAGCTAGCTACTTCAGTCCTGAGGTAGGCGCTTTACACAGCTAACCTCCTCCATCCAGCCAGATATTCTCAGCCAGGTAGCAACGTTCACTTAGCTTGTCTGATGCTGGTCAGAAACAGGAGAAGTGCAATGTCATTTGATGCAAAGACCTACCCCTTTTCTCCTGCCCTGAACCACATCCTTCAGAGCTTGAACTCTGATGGATCAGCTTTCTTCTTTTATAATAAAACGTATCCACTTAGTATTTAATCTTTGGTCTCCTGATTTCTTTCTTTCTTTTTTTTTTTTTTTCTTTTTTACATCATTATATTTATTTTCTAAACAGTAAGAAGGTGGAGGATCACCCTTCTGGGCCAGCCAATGGTGTAGTGATTAAGACAGCTGGATCTGACATGATCGATTGTGCGGCTTGAGTTCCTGCCCTAGTGGCTTCAGAAACACTCCAAGTGCATGTATGTGCATGCCCAAAATCCTGAGAGGAGAATGGAGGAGAAGGGATTATGGCGTGGTCAAACCCCTCACCACCCGGAGTGCTTTCTCACTTTCCTCCTCTCTCTCACTTCTCTCTCTCCCTGTCTCTGTCTCTGTCTTTTCTGGTAAGCACATGCACCATAAAGCAAATTAAAGAAAAGAGAGAGGGAGAAGGAGGGAGGGGGAGAGAGAGAGGAGGGGAGGGAAGGAGAGAAGGAGAGAAAGAGAGAGAGCGAGAGAGCGAGCGAGAGAGCGAGCAGGCGAGCACACAAGCAAGCAAGCTGCCCTTCTCTTTTAAGGAACTGCTCAGAAGTTGCACAACACTTCCACTTATGTCTTATTAGCCAAAACTTGGTGACGTAGTCATGGGTAGTTTCAAGGGAGCCCGGGGATACAGTCTTTTGAATGTGAGACAGTGACCCAGCAAAACCCTGGAGTTCTTGTATTAAAGTGTGAATGGCCAGCTCGACAGTGCAGTGCTGCTCAGATGATGCTGGATCCATATGGAAGGGTTGTGTGTTCAGTTCCCTGGTTGACTTGTAAATTCTGGCCACTTGCATACTTAATTCTGGTTGACTAGGAAATCTGAGAGTAGATCACAGTGTGGGACCCTGTGGAGGATGTCTTTCTATCTCTCTGACTCTTATTCAAATGAAAGGAATAAACTTTAAAAAAACAAAGAGTAGGCCAGCTGGTAGCATGGTGGTTAACACATCTGGATCCACATGGCCAACTGTGTGGTTTGAATCCTGGGCCTGGCAGTTTAAGAAAACATGGTGACGGTGCCAGCAGGGAGTATGGTGGTTAAGGCGCTGGACTCCCACATGGATGACTGTGGTTCAAGTCTCGGGCCTGGTGGCTTGAAAAGCATGCCAGGCACGTATGTGTGCATGCCCACAAATCCCAGGAGGAGATTGGAGGAGAAGAGATTGTGGGCACGGCCATCCTCCCTGGGGAGTAATTTCTCATCTTCCTTCTGATTCTCTCTCTGTGTCCAGTGAGCACATGTGCCCTATGACAAAAGCCTATTAAAACAAAACAGAACAAAATGCTGGGCATGTGCACTAAGTACATGCCCCAAATCCTGAGAAGAGAAATGGAGAAGCAGTTGTAGCATGACCATCCCCCATGGCAAATGCTTTATCACTTTTCCTCTCTTTTCTTTTTTTGAAATCTTTTTTTATTATTTATTTTTATTCATTCATTTATTTTTTAATTTGACCAGAGAGAGACCGAGGTTGAGAGAGAGGTGTGTGGGGGGGAGTGAGAACTCAAGCCACCAGATTCAGGACTTGAACCCCTGTCAGCCATGTGGGAGTGTCCAGCGCCTTAACCACCACGCCACCTGCCGGTCCCCCTCTCTTTTCTTTTTCTGGAGATCACATGCACCCTCTGGTAAATTAATAATAATAATAATAGTAGTAAGCAACAACTCGCAGACTTTGAAAGAATACTCCATGAAGGGACCAGCAGATGGCGTGTTGGTTATGTTACTAGAGTCCCACGAAGTCGACTGTGGTTCGAGTCCTAGACCCAGTGGCTTAAAACCCAGGCCAGGCACATGTGTGCATGCCCAAAATCCCAAGAGAAGAATGGAGAAGGGATTGTGGTGTGTCTCTACCTCTTCAGGGGGGGGTGATTTCTCACTTTCCATCTTAACTGTTTCTCTGGTGAGTGCATGCACCCTATAGCAAAATTTTCTCTAAAAAAAAGAGAATACTCAGTGAAAATATTACGAAAAAAATAACGATTATATAATTTCATCAAAGCTCTCAAAAATTTTAAAAACAGAATACCATTGTCTGGTATGTAGTTACTGACTCTCTCATTTTATGCTTTTTACTCCCCTTTTCGAAAGCAGCACTAACATTTGGTCTTTTCTTCTTGTAGGACTTTCCGTGACATTTCTGAAGATCTGAAATCTTCTGTAGACTGACCGTTTCCACTGCCGTGACTTGGCTAGGAAGTTTACCCTCGACAGTGAGTTCAGAGCAGTTGTGCCCGGCTGTCCTTTCAGCTGCACCTAAGAAGTAGAACCTAGACAGGAGCAACCCCTGGAAAGAAGCAGAAGCCTCCTGATCTTATTATACACAGGCTGCCTGGACAAGAGAGAACTTGCAGGGGGCTGCTTCGCGAGTTCAGAAATGTTGTTTGTTCACTTGGCTGCTGCTAAGGTGGCTTGAAATGTTTTAGTTTATACACTGGTACCATGGCTTGAAGTTTTTTTCACTTTGGTTATCTATAGTATTATAATACGTATTTATAAAATTATTTTAAGAACTCTAAACTACCTGCTGTTGAAAATGTGTACAATAATTTTCTTCTGCTTTAAGAGATCTGTTCTTAAACTTTTCTGTGACAGTTGCTTTTCCACAAAGAAGGCCTAAACTTTTGCGTATGTAGTTAGGTGGGCAGGAAAAAACAAGTCTTCCACCCTTTTCACAGAACGTATGTCTCCTCTTTAAGAAAAAACAAATGTAAGTACGAGGATGGGGTGGCTCGTTTGATGTTCAGTTGTATGTTGCGGTCTGGGAGACACAAGACCGAGCTCCTCTCCCCTCCCTCTCCCTCCATCCCTTATTACAGTATTGTCAGAATTCTAAGACTTGGCTGACCACATTGGAGTAATATACTTATTAAGCTGCTATGAATGGTAACAGTCTGACAGAATTTATGCTATCCTGCAGTTTCTTCTTTCTAAATGTTTTAAGTGAAAAATCTCAGGTGTAGCAATACTCTGACTCGTTACATGTAGCCATGTTTCATTATTTGGAACTCTGCCTGCCCAGTTAGCACTTAGCAGCAGCAGGCTTTCATATTTACGTGCTGTTTTTCCTGTCCCTTAGCACAGTGCCTTGCACACGACTCTGGATGAATGCTTGTTGAATTAACTTGTAACTTTTTAAATGTCCCAGATAGCACAGGACCAGCATAGTGCTTTACATCGTCCTTTTGCGTATTATTTCACAGCCACTTCCCATCCGATTTTGCATAGCTGTTATTTTACAGATGCTTCACACCAAGTGGGAAGCTCAGGTTCAGAAAAGTAACCAACTTAAAGTTCTAAAGTTTATTAAGAGTTGGCCTCAGGTCTTTCTGACGCCATAGTCTGCCAACTCTGTATGGCAGTATTTCTTTAACATCATGTGGTTTTCTCAGTGCCATGAGGTAGAATAGGTGTTATTACCCATTTGTTATGAATGCCCACTTGTTCCACAGTTAATGACAGGGCTGGGACTAGAAGCCAGCTTGCAGTTCTGTCCTTTCTACCGTTTTTAAACAATTATCCAGTCCTTCCTCTGCTCCCAAGGGAATTGTTGAGGGAAAGGGGTCCCTAAGTGTTGAAGATTTCCTTTTCAGAAAACATTTAAAATTACAAATAACATGTCCTTACTAGGAAGTTAATGATAATTAGCTTGAACGTATTATGCCATTTAAGAAAAACTCCGTCTAGGAGAGGCTGCCACGAGGTCTTTTGACTGTTTTTATTCAGACTAGATGCAGAGCTCTTATTTTTATTGAGCTCTTCCACAATTATCATCTGCTGTTTTGCCAGGTGTTAGATTTGGCTGCTGAGTAACTCAGTGTTTTCTTAGGCAGTTACTGGGTCATTCATTCATTCCGTAAGGTATTTCTTGAGAGTTTGCTACACACTAGGCTCCATGCAGGGGACCGTACAGGGTGCTGGTGTAGGAGACAACTCAGAAGAAGGCCTCTCTTACTTTAAATCTCAGCCAGATCATATGTAATGGTAAACTGAAAAATTTCACATCCAAAGGGTTAAAAAAGAAATCAGGTTTGTTTGTTCTTCTTAATTATATATGATAAGTTTGTAGGTGTAATTAGCACATATTCTTAAGACACAAATAGTACGTCCAATGAGTTAGTGTTAGTGTACTTATGCAAATTCTGTTCTTGCATAGTGCTTTTAGTTACATAAAGTGACATTGCAAAAAACTAAACCTGAGTTAATACCATGCCATTCCTGGGATAAACAGTATGAAAACTTGTGTGTTTTTTTGTTTCTTGTGTTTTTGTTTTTAGGTTTTTGCCCTAGGGTATATGTGTTTACTTGGGGAGGGCGGGTGGAGAAAGAGAGAAATCACTACCACCACCCCTCCAGGATGGATGACTATGCCACAGTCCCCACTTCTTTATTCCCTTGGGACTTAGGGCACACGCGCATACACACCCAGTGTACTCTTCAAGCCACTAGGAGTCTTAATTAAGCTCAAGTCTCCAAGATAACCCAAGATACCCTGATTGTCAGAGCCTCAGTCAGAACCTGCCCAGAAAGGAGACGTTTCCCTAGAAACAGAAAATGGACTGATTATGTCGACATTGCTTCAGTGAAAACCAAGTACAGAAATCTGTCGCAACAGCTTTATACTTCATGGATTTATTAAAGATTAGTTTCAAGGTCACATTTACTATTCAGTTGTAAATGGAACCTTTTCAGAAAACATTTAAAATTACAAATAACATGTCCTTACTAGGAAGTTAATGATAATTAGCTTGAACGTATTATGCCATTTAAGAAAAACTCCGTCTAGGAGAGGCTGCCACGAGGTCTTTTGACTGTTTTTATTCAGACTAGATGCAGAGCTCTTATTTTTATTGAGCTCTTCCACAATTATCATCTGCTGTTTTGCCAGGTGTTAGATTTGGCTGCTGAGTAACTCAGTGTTTTCTTAGGCAGTTACTGGGTCATTCATTCATTCCGTAAGGTATTTCTTGAGAGTTTGCTACACACTAGGCTCCATGCAGGGGACCGTACAGGGTGCTGGTGTAGGAGACAACTCAGAAGAAGGCCTCTCTTACTTTAAATCTCAGCCAGATCATATGTAATGGTAAACTGAAAAATTTCACATCCAAAGGGTTAAAAAAGAAATCAGGTTTGTTTGTTCTTCTTAATTATATATGATAAGTTTGTAGGTGTAATTAGCACATATTCTTAAGACACAAATAGTACGTCCAATGAGTTAGTGTTAGTGTACTTATGCAAATTCTGTTCTTGCATAGTGCTTTTAGTTACATAAAGTGACATTGCAAAAAACTAAACCTGAGTTAATACCATGCCATTCCTGGGATAAACAGTATGAAAACTTGTGTGTTTTTTTGTTTCTTGTGTTTTTGTTTTTAGGTTTTTGCCCTAGGGTATATGTGTTTACTTGGGGAGGGCGGGTGGAGAAAGAGAGAAATCACTACCACCACCCCTCCAGGATGGATGACTATGCCACAGTCCCCACTTCTTTATTCCCTTGGGACTTAGGGCACACGCGCATACACACCCAGTGTACTCTTCAAGCCACTAGGCTCAGGATTCAAACTGTGGAGTTGGCCATGTGGGATCCAGCACCTTAACCACCATGACACCTGCTGGTCTGAATACCAGGTTCTTGGAGGGGAATCCTGAGCTCTATAAGAATAGTAGCTTAAAGCTGCCCAAACCTGGAGCAGTTATGTGTCATCACCCTGATATTTCAGCGGAAGTACCCTGGAAGCCCTTGAGAGGAGACTCAAACTGTTCCCTTGCTAGAGTGACAGCATCAAAACTAGGAAGATCCGTCACCTGGGAGGTCTTTCTGGAACCCTTGTAACCAGAGAGAAGCATCTCAGCATGCCCCCCTTAGGTACAGTGAGGAGGTTTTACAGAATTTTCATAGGCGTAGAGATCAAATGGTATGAAAAAGTAGGAGTCTTAATTAAGCTCAAGTCTCCAAGATAACCCAAGATACCCTGATTGTCAGAGCCTCAGTCAGAACCTGCCCAGAAAGGAGACGTTTCCCTAGAAACAGAAAATGGACTGATTATGTCGACATTGCTTCAGTGAAAACCAAGTACAGAAATCTGTCGCAACAGCTTTATACTTCATGGATTTATTAAAGATTAGTTTCAAGGTCACATTTACTATTCAGTTGTAAATGGAATTAAAGGGTGGAGGGACATAAAAACTCTCCGTCCACAAAATATATCCCTCTCTTCTGTGAGAGAAAACAAGACACGGAACTTCTAGCATAAATACCATGTCACGTAACTGCTTATGTTCCAAAATTCTTAGCACACTTTCTGTTCCTGGAAGTGATCTCTATCAGACTGCTTGGATGCTAGTCCTAGTTGCTATTAAAATGGCAACTTCTGAACACTCTCCCAAGAGAGGTTGTTAGCTGGTGGAATTTTCCTTTGACTTCTGACACTAGTGTGGATTGACTCTCGACAGAAAATACCCAAAAGGTGTTACATGGTGATCCCCCCTCCATTTATACAAACTCTGTAGCCATTAGAAGTGGCAGCTGCTCATTCTACTAAACGGTTGCTTAACTGGCTTACAGATGGGGTCTTCTGGCCAAGCCTGGCTGTAACAGGAATGTTTGTGATGTCAGGACTTCCAGGTTCCCATTTTGTTAGTTAGTGCTTCAGGAATGTGTCACTACTGGGCAGGAATTCAGTTAGCTTAGAGCAAAGTAGCTTAGAGCAAAGTAATTCAGACGAGTATCCAGAGCTCTTAGGTTTGGGTGTATTGGAAAAACTCCTCAAGACTTTCTGTGCTTTGGTCCTGACCTTGCAGGCTCCTTGGAGGGTTCTCCCACGACAACCCAAGAAATACAGCAGTGGGACTTTGAGGGCACATTTCTCAGTGTAAATAGCCTCAGACAGAATACATCCAAGCTACAGGGTATGTGTGCGCACACATGCTGTTTTTGTTATTTATTTAAGTAAATGTCTCCGTTGGGACCTGCAGGCGGTGTAATGGTTCTGTTGCTGACTCTCACATGGCCAACTGCGGTTCAAGTCCCGAATGCAGTAGCTTGAAATTCACGCCGGGCACGTGTGCGTGCGTGGCCAGGATTCTGATAGGAGAATAGAGGAGAAGGGAATGCGGTGTGGCCATCTCCCCTGGGGTGTGATTTCTTGCTTTCTGTCTCTCTGTCTCTCCAGCAAGCGCACTCACCCAATAGCAAAAATCTCTCTAAAAAATAAATGTCTTTATTCAATGTCTTTATACATTGTAGCATCAAAATACATTTATTAATCTAATGAGTATTGAGAACCTGCAAACAATACTGATGTTATGTGAAGCCACTGATAATATAGAAATAATCAAGAGAGTTGTAAGTTAAGGACCAACAGGTGGCATAATGGTTTTATTGCTTAACTCCCACGTAGTCAACCGTGGTTCGAAGCCCAGACCCATGGGGCACATGTGCATGTGTGCCCAAAATCCCAAGAGGAGAATGGAGGAGAAGGGATTGTGGCATGGCTATCTCCCCAGGGGGTGATTTCTTGCTATCTGCCTCTCTGTCTCTCCAGCCAGCTCACGTGCCCTACTGCAAAAATCTCGTCAAAAAAAAAAAAAAGAGAGAGAGAAGAAATTGTAAATCAAGATATTCTTTCCATCTACTAGAGTCCTAGAAATTCTGTGCTAGAATGAGCCTTATAACTAAATGATCCTGCCATTTTGTAGAGAAAGAGACAAATTCTTAGGTTAAAGTGACTTGACTTGTCTCTCTCTCACACACACACACACACACACACACACACACACACACGTACACCCCGTTAGTCACAGAATTCAGAGTAGAGTACTAAATACTCAGTTTTTTTCTGAGTCCACTGTTCTACTCTTACCTTTTTCCTCCTAGTTGCGCAGCTTTTGGCAAAATGTGTTTCTTATAGCAGTGGTTCCAAGAGATGTTAGCAGGTATGTGAGAGGGAAAAACTGCGGTGGGAAGGGATTCCATGGAATCCTGAGGAATGCTGAGTTTGTTTCCTCTCCACAATACTTAGGAGAGTTTTGAACATGCTATTTATTACACATTGTGAATTTGTAAGAGGGGACAGAGACTATGTATAACCTTAGATTTCCCAGAGCATCTCAAAAGAACTGTGGGTCCTTTGGGAAACATGCTTCTCTTTGAGCAGATGTCCTTAATGGAAATACCCAGTGGTTAATCTCTTACTGTGGTACCATGTAATCCATAATGGAATCCCAAAGTTTATCGAGATAGTAGGAAGAAAGCATATTTGCTGTTTAGCACTATACATAAAGTATAGATTCTTCTATACCTGTGGTGTGTAAAAAAAAGTCAGTATTTGTGGGGTACCAGCAGATGGCATAATGGCTATGTCACTGGACTCCCATGTAGTCAACCAAGGTTCGAGTCCTGGACTCGGTGGCTTAAACTCATGCTGGGCACATGTGTGTCCATGCCCAAGATCCCGAGAGGAGAATGGAGAAGGGACTGTGTCGTGGCCATCCCCCTTGGGGGTGATTTCTCTCTTTCTGTCCCTCCGTCTCTCTGTCTTTCTGATGAGCGTGTGCACCCTATAGCAAAAGCCTCTCAAAAAAAATAAAAAAATCAGTATTTGTGATTAATTTTTCGAGTTTTTCAAGGATCAGTTAATGTGCAAATATAGTGGTAATATATTGATAATGCATTTTAATAATGTTTTTGTATGGCACTTTATAATTTTCACACACCTTTTGTGAGAGCCCTGGAAGATAAGCAGTATTATCCTCATTGTGCAGATGATACACTGAAGACTCTGGAAGGTTTTTTGTGATTTCCCCCTAGGTTTATAGCACGCAATGATGGAGACAGAATTCAGGAGCAGGACTTCTGACTCCAAGTCCAGAGTGCTGTGCTCCACACCTGGTTTCTTACTTTCCTTGTAGCTTTCTATTTTACAATGAAAGATACAGAAGCAAATCTTGAAGTGACATCATTCGGACTTAACCAAATGCCATTTCTTTATCTGCAGTGCCCCAGAAAGTGTAATGATTGTAGCTATTCCAAAGAAAACTTTGTTTTATCCTTTGCATTGCCACTTATTTAGGTGACTGGATTGTATTTTAAATACTATTTTGTTTTGAAACCAAAATTAGATAACATCGTTGTGATTTCTTATGTAACTTTGGAAATGTGTCATCTCTGCACTCTCAGGCAAAGTTTAAAAAAGACTATTCAAAAACAACAATAAATATTCTTTATTCTCACATAAATGCCGTTTCTTAGCTTTATCTTGCTTCGACAACCTACTGGTGTAACTTCTTTGTAAATGTAAAATATTTATATTTTGAAATAAAATGAATAGTATTGAATGAATCAGGTGGTATCCTATTATCTGGTAAGAAATTTAATTCTTAATGAAGCCAGACTTTCCTATAGCTGTTTCGAGGCCTCCTATCTTACCCTTTCCTTTGGCACCAGTGTCTACACTGACATGTTGAGCACCTTAAAGGTGAAAAGGTCCTTCAGTGCACAGGGGAAACTTGGCCTTGTGGGTAGGTAAGGAAGTGATGATGAGATGGGCAGCTGACTAGGAAGAATTGGAATATGGGCAGCTGACAAGGAAGAATTGGAATGGAAATTGGATTAGGGACCTGCAGTTGTTGAATAAAAAAAAGAAGACTGAAGTCAGCCACCTTCAATACCATTGACCTCTGTGCGGCATGGTAGACGAATCCGAACAGACAAGTGTTAGTGAATACTGGGAACCACATTTTAATGGTGCTTCAGAAAGAGCTTTCTGACACTTCTAGTTGATAGTGTCCAGCTCAGTAATATGACATGGAAGGAGAAATGGAGATGCCCCATAACTTAGTGGTTAAGGGAGCTGGGTCCCACATGGCAGACCACAGTGAATCTTGGCCATGGTGGTTTCAAAAACATACTGGTGCTTTTGTGTGGGTTCTCTCGATCCTGAGAGGATGGAGAAATGGGGGAGTAGGGATTATAGTGTGACCGTTCCCCATTGGGGCCCCTCACCTCTCCCCCATGTCTCTTTCTGGCCAGCTCACATACCTTCTGGCAATTGTTATAAAGAGGAAAGGGGAAGAAATGATCCCTGCCAAGGTGTGAGGGTGGAGTAGGCAGCTTCAGATTCATTGTACTCTGATAGGTTCTCACTGGCAGACACCGCAGTTCACAAAGCATTTCTTCATGCTCGAAGGTGCATGGCTTCTGACAGCCTCCTTTTGGCTTTGCTCCTGGAAGCCTTAGGGTAAGGAGCGTCTTTCCCTCTCACGAGGGTAGGGAGAGGTTCCGTGTAAGCTCAGGGTTGTGTTTAGAGAACTGAATCTTAGACTTACCCCTAAATGAGTTCAGAAATACACAAATGGACTTTTTTTTCTTAATTAAATATTCATTTAATTTTATGAGAGAGAGAGCAAGCGAGCGAGAAAGCAAGGCACCAGGTCCAGGTCTCAAACCATGGTGGGCCATTATGGGTGTGTCCAGTGCCTTAACTACCACACCACCTGCTGGTCCCCCACGAATGAACTTTTCATTTAATGAGAAGTATTAATAAACTGCTGTGCACCTAGCATGAGAAGTGAAAGTAGTTTTGAAAAGTAGTTTTAAAAATTAAGTGAGGGACCTGCAGGTGGTGTGGTGGTTAAGGAGCTGCACTCCTACGTGCTGGACACAGTTAGGGTCCCGGACAACAGCTTGAAAATCGCTGGTCATGTGTGCATGCATACCCAAAATCCCGAGAGGAGATTGGAGGAGGGGGTTGTAGGGTGGCCATCCTGCCTCGGGGGTGATTTCTCATTTTCCTCTCTCTGTCTCTGTCTCCAGCGAGTGCACGCGTCCTATGACCAAAAAAATCTTAAAAGGCATTAAATAAATTACGAATAGTAGACAAAGCTTGTTCATATTTTAATTTCCTTTGGAGGAATAAGTTGAAATACTTGCCTGAAAGATGATGCTATCTTCCTGTCAAGTACCCAGATAACCCTAAAATGCTCGCATTATCAAGTATTTCATCCTCAACCCAGCTCAAAGTATTTTTGACAAGTGGTCAGATACGAAGCAGAGGATGGGCGCAGCTAAAGTGGTGCTGCCCGAACGCAAAGCTCCTGGACACAGAACCCACAAGGCAAGGCGCTGTGTACCGAGATCTTCTACACCCGTTTGTGCGCACATGCCAGATGCAGGCTGCTTGAGGCTAGAGGTTCTTGTCTCTCATGAGAGAAATAAACATCGAAGAAGAAAAACGAGTGCCAGGCGAAATGTTTTTTTTCGGGGGAGCCGCAGAATGACGACTGCCGGTTGATTCCCATCCCAGGGTACAGACAGATGAACGACCCTCTCATAGACCTGATTCTTTCTGGTTATGCTATGTCAGTTTCAACCTCAGGGCAGCTTCCAGAAATCTTGGGAATTGGGAATTGACTTAGGACGTAGTCTAGCTAAGAGGTCACGTGGCCATGGGAGCCCATCAGGTGGTTCTCTGCTAGCAGGGTGCGAGGTGCTTGGAACTCACAGAAGACATCTGAGTTGAGAGCTTCGGACAGAGGAGGAATGGGGTCGGGGGCGGGGCCGGAATAG